TATATTTTTAAATCTTTTGAGAAAAGTTGCAAATGTAATTTTACTCCAGCCTTACATATTGACTCATGTTTATCCTAAGAATGAGGATATTCACTTACATAGCCACTATATAATTATCAAACTCAGGAGATTTAGCATTGTTACTATATTATTATCTAACAGTCCATATTCAAACTTGCCCATTTTTCCAGTAATATCCTTTATAGTTGTTTTTTCACTCAGGGTCCTATCAAGAATCTGCAATGTACTTGGATGGACTTTGAGGCTATAATACTGAGTGATCTATCACAGAAACAAAGAACCAAGTATCACATGTTCTCACTCATAAGCGGACCTTGAACAACTATCGTAATACTATAAGAAAGGAATTGACAGTAGTGGGAAACTGCCAGGGAAGGTGGGTGGGACACCTCATCAACAAGGGTACCTACATAATGAACATTTTTATACCTAACACTGAATTGTACCCCTCATATTTAAAATAAAAATAATAAAATAAAAAATAAAAGAATCTGCAATTCATTTAGTCTTCATATTTCTTCAGTGACCTCTAACCTAGGACAGATTCTAAACATCTCCTTTCTTTAATGACTGAGACATTTTGGTTATTTTGCAGAATGTCCTTCAATTTTCATTTGTTTGTTTCCTCATGATTCGATTCAGATTGAGCATTTTGGGCAGGAATGCTATCATCCTGGGAGACACATAATGTGTGTGCCTCATAACTGGCGATGCTGTGTTTAATCACTTCATTAATGTGGTATCTGCAAGATTTTTAGGCATCTATAATTTCTACATGCTACCCTTGTGATTCTGATGTAGAGGGAGTCACTAATTTAGTCAAATATCCTACATAGAGATGGGAATATCTTCTGCAGTGTCTTTGAAGACTAGGCATTTTCTACAACTTTTATTAGCTCTAATAAAGGGGAACTTACAGTCTTCAAGGGCAGACAGATTCTTCATCTAGTTAAATGTATTAAAAAAGTGTTTTAATACCCAAAAGAAAATAACTACAAGCAAGGACTCAAACAGATATTTGTATACAATCATGTTCATAAGCAGCATTTTTCACAATGACCAAAAAAGCAGACAATCCGAATGTCCTTTGATGGACAAATAGATAAATGAAATGTGGTATATACATACAACATAATATTATTCAGTTTTAAGATGAAGGAAATTCTAACACATATTACAATATGGATGGATCTCGTATATATCACAACGGTTGTCCCTGAAGTGATGGAAGCCAGACACAAAACATTATCTAGTGTATGATTCCACTTATATGAAATACTTAGAACAGTCAAATTCATAGAGACAGAAAGTAGAATGGTGATTACCAGGGCTGGGGGAAGGGAAATAGGGAATTATTTTTTAAAGGGTACAGAATTTTAATTTGGAAAGACAAAATCCATCTAGTGATGGATGGTGATGATGGTTGCACAACCATGTGAAGATACTTAATGCTAATGAATTGTACACTTATAAATGGTAAAGATGGAAAGTTTTATGTTATATTTATTCTACCGCAATTTTAAAAAACTTAAAAAAAGATACGTTTGTTTGTACCAAGATAAAATTGCCCCTTTGGAACTTTTCCTCCTTTGTTTTGACTTTTAGAACAACACAAAATGCACCTTTTCTCTCTTCCACGTGATATCCTTTCCATTAGTTGCCTGCCTATCCGTCCACTACCCCTCTCTCCTCATCTCCCCAATCTAGTGGAAAAAGTTTAGAATTTTGTGGAAGATTTAGCTCTTACAGATTCATTATTATCCTCTTTTAAAAATCAGAATAACATAGGACTGCCTTAGGATTTTTTTCCTTGAGAAAAATTAAATTAAACAGTCTAGTACTGAAGTGGCTCACCCACTTCACATGGGACAACATCTTGGTACTTGCCCAGGGCTCTCCTCCTCTTTTTGTTCTAAGCCTGCACTCCAGTTCTGAGCCTGAAGAGGATCAGGCAGCAGCTGCTTGGAAGCAGGATGCATGCGATGATTTATGATTTATAGCAAGCAAGCTGTGGAGAATGCTGAGGTCTTTTATCTCCTTAAGGCATCAGCTCCGGCAAAGGAAAACTTGGCCAACTAGAAACAGCTTGACATTGCTTGAGAGGCTCACGTAACAATTTGTAGGTACAAAGACAGTTCAACTTTGCCATAGCAACAAATCCACCCCTCCTACCCCCCCCCCCCCACGCACCGCACCCCAGTGAGGTAGGCCTTGGCAAGGCTATTAGCTGCCTTCACGACTGAGCAGACACTTGGCCACCAGGCTGCCCATCTATGTGGGATGTTCCATGCTCTACACAACTCCAAATTGAGGCCCATGACGCTCTTCAGTGGCATTCAGATTCCAGGTTGATCTGTTGGGCCCAAGGCCCAATCCTATTTCAAGGAAGTCACTGAGCAAATGGTGAGTCTCCCCCAACCCCTCAAAGGGGATACTCAGCTTTCACAATGTCTGGGGAGGCCCTGCCAACATAGATTTACCAGGTCTCCTTGGAAAAGTTTTGTGTCCTTTTATGAAGTAAAGGCAAAAGTAATTTAAAAAGAAGAGTCCAGAGTTAGGAGAAGAGGAATGAATCAGAGAATCGGGGACCTCAAGAGCATAGGCTCCTCCCCTTTGCAGTTGCCACCCTACATAATAGGCCCAGGGCAGGTGAATTAGTCAGAATTCTCAGGAGAGATAGAACCAATTGGGTGAGTGGATGGATAGAGATGATAGCTAGCTAGCTAGCTAGCTAACTAGCTAGATAGATAGGCAGGCAGACAGGCAGACAGACAGACAGATGGGAAATAGACAGATAGCTTAGTCCAGGAGTAAAGAGGAAGGGATAGATCCTTAATGTTCTTTGGACCCAGCCTGATCCTTCCAAGACCCAGAGAACTGGAGTCCAGTTTAGGTGGAAGGTCAGATCTTCAATGGAGCATTCCAGGCATGAGGTTAGGGAGTGGTACCCAAGATTTTGAGAGCAAGGTCTTCCTCTTCCACCCAACCCCACCATCCTCTTTCCTACCATCATACTAGGCCAAGGTCAGGCATGGTTAATTGGAAAACTAAGACTCTTTACAAGAAGAAGGAGAGGCCACTGAGCAGGACAAGAATCAAGGTGATGGCCCCCTGGACACCAGTGATGTTTTCTCCTTTGGGCCATCTAAAATGAGGAAAGCTTGCCTTCTTCATTCTCTTTGCTTATAGATCAACTTTCTTCCCTATTACATAGTATTTGCTTTTTGTGACAAGCTTCCTACATATCACTCCCATCCAGGTAGCTATCACCCACTCAACTAGAGGAGACTATTTTTGTGCCTAGTTAACTTGCTAGAAACTGTTGTGCATCAATGGTCTGCAATGTAGATGGAAAGAAAAACAAAAAAATCTGTTTTCTGTCTTGGTAATGAGGCTGGAGAATCAAAAACAGCAATATATGCAGCCAATAAGCATTTAGTGGTTACAGAAGAAGGGTAGGGAGGAAGGGCAGAGACCCAAGATCATGGCCAAGACCACGTTTTGTCTGTCCAGAATATGATCTGGGCCTCACTATGTTTCTATAGACCCAATTCTGTCCTCCCAAAATAGATTCAGTGGCCTACATACAAAAGCATTATAAGCAAATGGGGTGCCTCTTTAAATCTTTGATGAGCCTTAAAGTTGTCTTTGCAGGTCAGTTTCAGTCCAAGCAATCTCTAGAAAAGCTGGGTTTCTGTTTTTGTTCTTCAAAGAAAAATAATTGCCACCACGAAAACACAGTAGTCTAGAATCTTCTGACATTAAAAAATAATAACAGAAGCAGGCACCCCTTTGTTGTTAGGTAAGCAAAAGAAATGGGAAGGGGCCACTAAGCACTGAAAAAAAAATGCAACCTTGCATCCCAGGAATGAAGCCTACTTGGTCACGAACTGGCCTCCAATTCCTGAACAAGACCCAAAACCCACAGGTCTAAGTGGGAGGATAAACAAGTGGGACCTTATTAAACTGACAAGCTTCTGCAAAGCCAAAGAAACCATCAAGAGAGCAGAGAGACAGCCTACAGACTGGGAAAAAGTATTTGCCAACACCAGGTCAGACAAAGGCTTAACATCTTGGATCTACAAGGAACTCAAACGTGCTGAAAAGAAAAAAACAAACAATCCCATTATAAAATGGGCAAAAGATATGAACAGACACTTCACAAAGGAAGACATCCAAGCAGCCAACAGACACATGAAGAAATGTTCAACCTCACTAATCATCAGGGAGATGCAAATCAAAACCACACTGAGATATCACCTAACTCCAGTCAGAATGGCAATTATCAACAACTCAAAAAATAACAGCAGCTGGAGAGGGTGCGGCGAAAAGGGAACAATTCTATACTGTTGGTGGGAGTGTAAACTAGTGCAACCTCTGTGGAAAGCAGTGTGGCGATTCCTAAATGCTTTAAATATCAACCTCCCATATGACCCCACAATCCCCCTACTGGGAATATATGCGAAGGAACTCAAATCACTCTATAAAAAAGATACCTGCACACGTATGTTCATTGCAGCATTGTTCACGATAGCAAGAACCTGGAAGCAACCATGCTGCCCACCAAAAGAGGACTGGGTTTAAAAAATGTGGTACATATACACGATGGAATACTACGCAGCCATAAAAAAGAACAAAATCATGAATTTCGCAGCAACCTGGATGGAACTAGAGTCTATAATACTGAGTAACCTCTCCCAAAAACAAAGGTCCGAGTATCACATGTTCTCACTCATATAATGGACCTTGAACATCCAACCTAATACTATAAGAAAATGACTGACAGTCGTGGGAAACTATGGGGGGGGAGATGGGATTAACAGTAGCAAATATCTGTCTGGGGATGGGGAAGCACCTCTTATCAATAGGGTGCCTGAATGAAACGTATTTGTATACCTAACCCTTAACTGTACCCCACAACATCATAATAAAAAATATTGATTATAAAAAAAAAAGAAAAGAAAGTGCAGGCATGGGTCTCTGAGACCCGAAAGGTGAGGCCTTCTTCACGCCTGGGAGACTGTGCCCGGTGCCTCTGCGGCGCTCACTATGCCTCAAACGAGTGTATTGAATTACACCATAAACGCTATGGATATCGTTTGGATTACCATGAGAAAAAGAGAAAGAGTCTTGGAGAGTCTAGAGGCTCATGAACGTTCAAAGAAGGCAAAGAAGATGATTGGTCTGAAGGCTAAGCTCTATCATAAGCAGCGCCACGCTGAAAAAACACAAATGAAAAAGACTATCAAGATGCATGAAAAGAGAAACACCAAGCAAAAAAACGATGAAAAGACTCCACAGGGAGCAGTATCTGCCTATCTGCTGGACAGAGAGGGACAGTCCCGAGCTAAAGTGCTTTCCAATATGATTAAACAAAAACGAAAAGAGAAAGCGGGAAAATGGGAAGTCCCTTTGCCTAAAGTTCGTGCCCAGGGAGAAACAGAAGTATTAAAAGTTATTCGAATGGGAAAGAGAAAGAAGAAGGCATGGAAGAGGATGGTTACTAAAGTTTGCTTTGTTGGAGATGGCTTTACAAGAAAATCACCCAAATATGAAAGCCTCATTAGGCCGATGGGCTTACGTTTCAAGAAAGCCCATGTAACGCATCCTGAACTGAAAGCCTTTTGCCTGCCAATACATGGTGTAAAGAAGAATCCCTCATCTCCATTATATACAACTTTGGGTGTTATTACCAAGGGTACCATCATTGAGGTCAATGTGAGTGAGTTGGGCCTTGTGACACAAGGAGGCAGAGTTATTTAGGGGAAATATGCACAGGTGACCAACAATCCTGAAAACGATGGATGCATAAATGCAGTCGTACTGGTTTGACAGATGTTTCATATAAGCAACTCCTTGTAATTGTTGGCCACATATCAGTTGGGAAAACCACCTTTACTGTGATGTTTCTTAATACTACCAAAGAGCCTTACTTGTCTGCAGTCATCGAGAGAACAAATTGTAAAAAAAAAAATTTTAATGATCCATTAAAAACATTAAAATGTAAAAAAACATTTAAAAAAATTAAAATGGTCCCATTTTACAAAAAAAAAAGAAAGAAAGAAAAGAAAGTACAGCGCTCCCCAGTATATCTTGGGAAATATACAATACAGTCCCTGAAGGTACCAAAATGTGGCCATCAGATTCTCCACACAGAAACACATTTGTGGTATGCAAAGCACATAATAGAAGTTATCTGGGGAATGGAGTGGACAGGCAGGCATGGAGACCTCTCCTGACCACTGTTCTAGTAAATACTAGGAGATAATGTTCTGAGCGTAAACATCCTCCCATCAGATGCTGCCCAGCATCTTGAAACATTTAAAGCAATACCCGTGGGAAGTTTAGAGTTAGCTAGAAAGTCACCTTCCAAAATGGGAGCACTCCAACCCCGGAGCACTCCCACCGCCCTGTGCTGATTGACATCAACTCCCCCACACCGCAGTGCTGGAAGCAAGGCAGAGAAAAGGGTGACAACAGCAATGGAAGAAACTATAGTAACTATGCAGGGACGCAGGAGCCTGCTGAATGGTCACCAGCGGATGAAATCATGAGAGAAAAGATTGAGAGGAAATTTCACCACGGAGAAATCAGGATGGCCCTACCTGAACCCGCTGAGGAAACTCGGCATCTCTCAAAGGAGGACCCACAGACACAGATCTTCTGGCGTGCTGCAGCATCACCTAGCAGATATTCTTTCCAAAAAGTTTAACCTAAATTTAATCAATTCTGTAGATCTAACTTCTGGCTTGTAGGCAGACATGGGTAGAGGAATGAAACGAAGACATTCCACCAGGTAAGACCAGACGACATTCTACAAGGTAACTGGCCTTGTTTTTCCAACACATCATTGGAATTATAAAGTAAGAAAAAGGAAGGAGGAGGAGAAAAGGAAGGAAGAGAAGGATCTATTCTATATTAAAAGATTCATAAGAGACATAATAACCAAATATAACCTTATCTGAGTCCTGATTACTTCAACTGATGGGGGTGGAGTTGAACTGAGGCAGTTAGGGAAACTTGTACTATAAACTGCCATTAAATGATACTAAGGAATTATTGTTAACTTTCTTGATTACAACATTGGCATTGCAGTTATATAAGAAAATGTCCCTAGTTTTCAAAGATATACGCTGAAGTTTGCAAAGATGAAACAAGATATCTGATATTTGCTTTAAAATACTTAGGGAGAAAAAGGATTAAGCAAAAGTACTGTTTAGAATTTTTATAAGATATGCTGTTATTAAATTTTGTGCACATAAATGTACATTGTGCACCAGTAAAACAAATTTCTTCTGTGAAACACACATACTCCCACACACAATTGGAAACATGTTAGGCCTGTTAGCACTCACTTAGGAGAGCAGAATAAGCATTCTTCTGAGTAACTGGAAATAGGTCTGTTCTTGCTCTATCTTTCAGGATAATAAAAACCAAAAGAACGATGTTAAGACAGAGATGGGCTGCTCCTATATAAAAAAACTAGTTATGCCTTTTGCAAAATAGCATTCCCTTGAAAAGTCACTGATTGCAAGCAAACTTAAGGAATGTTAACTTCAGGTTTGCCACTTAGAACAAAGTGGGCCTGGAGTTTTCCTGGTACTTAGGCATTCTCTAGAGTGATATAGGCCACCTCATTTTATTTATATTTATTTATAGGCCACCTCACTTTATTGCACTTTATGGATGTTATGGGGTTTTTGTTTTGTACTGTTTTGAGTTGGGGTCTCACTCTGTCACACAGGCTGCAGTGCAGTGGCACAATCATGGCTCACCACAGCCTCAACATCCTTAGGCCTTCCACCTTAGCATTCTGAGTAGCTGGGACCACAAGCATGCACTACCATGCCCAGCTAATTTTTTTTATTTTTGGTAGAAATCGGGTCTTGCTATGTTGCCTGGGCCGTTCTTAAACTCCTGGGCTTAAACAATCCTCTCACCTCAACCTCTCAAAAAGCTGGGATTACAGGTATGTGCTACCGTGCCTGGCTAGATATTGTGTTTTTTACAAACTGAAGGTTTGTGGCAGCCCTGCATCGAGCAAGTCTATGATGTCATTTTTCCAACAGCATGCACTCACTGCGTGTCTGTGTCACATTTTGGTAATTCCTGCAATATTTCAAACTTTTTCATTCTTATATCTGTTATGGTGATCCATAATCAGTGATCTTTGATGTTACTATTGTACTTGTTTTGGAACACCATAAACGATGACCATAAAAGATGGTGGTAAATGTCATATGTGTTCTGACCACTCCACTGAACAGCCACCCCCCTCTCTTCCTCTCCTTGGGCCTCCTGATTCCCAGAGATACAATGATATTGAAATTAGGCTAATGACTAACCCTACAATGGCTTCTAAGTATTCAAGTGAAAGGAAGAGCTAGAAATGATCAAGTTTAGTGAGGAGGGCATGTTGAAAGCTGAAACAGGCCAAAAGTTGACCTCTTGTTCCAAGCAGTTAGCCATATTGTGGACACAAAGGAAAAGTTCTTGGAGGTTAAAAGTACTAAAGTGCTACTTCAGTGAATACACATATAAGAAAGCAAAACAGCCTTATTGCTGATATGGAGAAAGTTTGAGGCGTCTGGGTAGAAGATCAAACCAGCCACAACTTTTCCTTAAGCCGAAGCCTAATCCAGAGCAAGGTCCTAACTCTCTTTAATTTTATAGAGGCTGGGAGAAGTGAGGAAGCTAGTTCAAAAAAAGTTTGAAGCTAGTAGAGGTTGGTTCACAAAAAACAGTCATCTCTATAACATAAAAGTGCAAGGTGAAGCAGCAAGGGCTAATGTAGGAGCTGCAGCAAGTTATCCAGAAGATCTAGCTAAGATCATTGAAGGTGGCCACACTAAACAGCAGATTTTCAATGTTGACAAATGCCGCGGCCCACGCGGCTGCTTTGAGGGTCCAGAGAGAGAGAGCGCGCGCTGCGAGAGACTAAGAAAGGCACAAAGACATAAAGAAAAGCTGGGGCCAGGTGGGACACTTTCCTCTGATGGAGGAGAAGTGGCCCCAAACTACCTCAGCACTTTTATTTTATAATCAAGCACAAGGGAAGTTGGAAGGGATTCAGGGTCTGTGGGGGAGCCATAATGAAATTATGTTGCTACCTAAAAGGCGAGCTGTCCTGAAGTTATCTTGTTGTAGCTAAGGCTTTATCTGTACTATGTACACCCGGATGTGTGGGCATCTGAGACACCGTTTCATGCAGCAGGTTGCATCCCTCACAGCTTGCCTTAGGCTAGGATGCAGAGCTTCCAAGCGAGACCTTGCCTACGAGCTTGGGGCTATTAAGCAAGACCTTGCCTTTGCTTGGGGCCTTTACTCAAGGCCTGCTACAGTGACAGTGCTCATCTGCTCCCCACATCACATCCACTCCCGACATCTCCCCCGTTTTTATTTTCTAAATGCAGGCGACAGACAGCTACTGTGGTGGCTCTGAACTGGTGTTGGAGGATTCCGCATATGACTGGCAAAAAATAAAGGAGGATTAGAGCAAATATGAAAAGACTCAGAATATACCAAGAGAATGTTTTAACATATTAAAGGGATTGAATCCCTTGAGATCATTAAGAAGATTTTGTGCTATTTGGCCAGGTTGTAAGATAGGTTCTTGGCTATTCTGGATGTATAGAATATTGTGGTAGAGTGTGAGCAGATCTGTGCTGATGTTATTATGGCTCCATATGCCTTGGAAGTGTTTTTTAACTAAGTCCCAATTCCAAAGGCTGTCATTATAAGAAACACAAGTAACACAAACCCAATTGTATGCCACATCATGGCATCGTAGCCGTTGTTTCATTTTTATGCTGTTTATCTGGCTTCCCAATCCAATGACTACAGTGTCCAAGACATTCAGTTTTGTTTCTAGCTTTAAGTCTATGGATTCTTGTTGTTGTAGGGCCTTGGAGGTATTTTGAGCCAGAGCGTTGACAAACTCGCCATTTTGGATGAATTGAGACAGTGCAGCAGCAGCAGTCACTGCAGAAGCCATGACCGAAATTAAGGTCACCAATCCAAAAATCATTAATCCAATAGCCCTATGAGGCCAGGAAGCAAGTTGGTGGTATAATTCCTGAAGTACCTGCAGTCCTGCATCATCATACCAAGGGTCTGATATGTTAGTAGGAAACATAACAAAGGGGGGCTGGTGTAAAACCAGGATGTCTTGTCCTGCATTATGGTGGGTGACACAATTTGTAAGATAACAAGAGTTACATTGTAAGGAATAATGATTATCTACTGGGATGATATTAACAGAGCCTGTTAAAAGGACATAATGAGGTTGGACAAAGGCCCGGACCCCGTAGCAGGGGGTGGTTGTACCACAGCTTCCTGCCAAATTGACCAATGACCCACTAGTAAAGTTAACAAAATCAAGGGAGGCAGCAAGCTGCCACAGTTCTTTTTGGATGTCACCTTGGGAAGTAGTAAGGATGTTGCCAACAAAATCCCTAGGGGAAATGAGGTCATGGTTAGAATGAGAGGGGTCTAGTCTGTGAGAACAATCATAGATTAAGAGGGAGGTTCCCACAAGGTTTAGTAACATAGACACAGGAGTGGTACATTCTATACAGTTGGGGAATTCTCCAAACTCTATCCCTGTGCTATTAGGGCAGTATGGGATATTGAGGTGAGCCTGGGAGACATTATAAGTAGAACTAGGGAACCTCCACTTAGATATGGTTTGTAGATTTTTTATTATGTCCCAGGGGCCCGAAATGTTAGCTATTTATGTAACCCTGTAGGAGGTTTTATTTTCTTGACTCATCTTAAGACAACCCAACTTAGGGGTGTTAGAAAGGCAAATAGGAGGGCTACTACTAGTTCCCATGAAGTTAAAATTTGTATTATGATCAGCATTAACATGTTTATCAAACAGTCCTCCCAACATATAAGTATCATTGGTGAAAACAGGGACCAACCCACCAGCCCAAGTAGCAGAC